AAGGGGTGCCGTACCATATGCAGGACCCCAAAAGGGGAACCTCAAATTTCGAGAGCTGCCCATGTCGTCTTGGGTTTCCAGGACTTTTCGGGTTGAGGGCACAGTTTAGGGTTTAGGGTTTAGGGTTTAGGGTTTAGGGTTGAGGGTTGAGGGCTTCAGTTTGAGTAGGGTATTGGGAGGATTTCTGGGGGTTGGGCCTAGACTGAACATGCTGCTTGTTTAGGATTTGGGCGAGCTTCCCTCTTCCTTCCCGTAGACTTAGGCCCTACACCTAAACCCTGAACTCTAAATCCTAAAGCCTAAACCCGAAACCCGAAACCCTAAACCCTAAGCCCTATGCCCTGTGCTATATGTCCTAACCCTAAACCCTAAACCACAAACCGCCATGACCAACACCCAAAACCTTCCTGACGCTGCGCCCGCAACCCTAAGCCCTAAACCCTAAACCCCACACCCCAAACCGTAAACCCTAAACCCTATACCCTAAACCCTAAACCCTTTTGCAACCCGTTTTCATCGGTGCCGGGGTCGCGCGCAGGTCGCCAAGGCTCGCACGGCCCGCTCCAAGGCCGTGAAGAAGGCCACCTGTTGTGCAAGAAAGGCTTTGTTGCCAGTTTTATAGTTTCACAGTTTTAACTTCGTAGGGTTTAGGGTTTAGGGTTTAGGGTTTAGGGTTTAGGGTTTAGGGTTTAGGCTTTGGGGTTTAGGGTTTAGGGCTTAGGGCTTCGGGTCTAGGACCCAGAGTTTCCCTGTTGTGGGGGGAGGTTCAGGTTCCCTTTTACTCCCCCGATAAACCGCAAAGGACACCGTTGTTTGTTCCTAGGTTAACTCTAGAGTCTAAACCCTAAACCCTAAACCCTAAACCCCAAACCCTAAACCCCAAACCCTAAACCCCAAACCCCAGTTTTAGCAAGCCCCCCCCCCCCCCCCCCCCCCCCTCACCACTTCCAAGACCATACCTCCAAAGCCTCGTCCTCGACCTTTCGTGTGCTGGGGGGTCATTTTTTCAATCGCCAGTTTTAAGCCCGGCCCTAAGTCCCTATATATTCCGATGAGCCCATGGAGTTTTTACTTGCAAGGCCGCCAAACCCTGAACCCGAAGCGGCCCTAAGCCCTGAACCCTAAACGGCCCTAAACGCTAAACCCCAAACCCCAAACCCTGAACCCCAGGCCCCCTATCCCCAAACTCTAAGCCCTAAACCCCAAACCCCAAACCCCAAACCCCAAACCCCAAACCCTAAACCCTAAACCCTAAACCCAGTCTGGGGTTTCTGGCATCCTGAAGGCCTTGAAGAAGTAGGTGGCCGGCCAGCTATGCCTCCGTTGTGCGAGGCCCCGCGTAGGGTTTAGGGTTTAGGGTTTAGGGTTTAGGGTTTAGGGTTTAGGGTTTAGGGTTTAGGGTTTAGGGTTTAGGGTTTAGGGTTTAGGGTTTAGGGTATAGGGTTTAGGGTTTAGGGTTTAGGGTTTAGGGTTTAGGGGCTTTAGGGTTTAGGGGGCTTTAGGGTTTAGGAGGTTTAGGGTGTAGGAGGTTTAGGGTGTAGGAGGTTTAGGGTTTAGGAGGTTTAGGGTGTAGGAGGTTTAGGGTGTGGGAGGTTTGGGGTTTAGGAGGTTTAAAGGTTGAAGGTTGCAATTTTACATCGTTTTGCAGGGGGGCTGCTTGTCTGAGGGTGGTTAGCAAGACTCTTGGCTCACCAGTTCATGCTTTAGGATCGAGATCGATGAGGGCGCAGGCGGGTGGATGGCCGGGTTGAAATTTGAGGGCCTGCGAACGACAAGCTTGTACGTAAAATGTGATATCAGATCACTCTCTGGAAGCCCTAGCCCTAAACCCTAAACCCTAAGCCCTAAACCCTAAACCCTAAACCCTAAACCCTATACCCTAAACCCTAAACCCTAAGTGCCCCTCACGGTGAGGCTTTCGATCTGGTGAATGCGGGCTTGAGAAACAGAAGACAGCTGCGGAGAGTGGAAAAAAAAGCAGCGCTGGATTCCAGATCTAGAGTTTAGGGTTTAGGGTTCAGGTTTAGGGGTTTAGGGGTTTAGGGGTTAAGGGTTTAGGGTTTAGGGTTTAGGGTTTCCACATTTGCAGAGTGCGGCAGCACAAGATAGGGGTCGGAAGAATTACGCATAGCATCCTCTCATAGTTCCTAGTATACTTATTCTATCATATCCCCCCAAACCTTATGCCAATTTCTTAAGGCACTATACTATGTAGTCTGTTTTTTTTTTGGGTGGCGGTTCCTTGAGCAACTAGTAGTATAGCAGCATCTGGAGTATACTTCCGATAGGCGACTCGGACCCCCCAGCGGCATGTTTAGGGTTTAGGGTATAGGGTTTAGGGTTTAGGGTTTAGGGTTTAGGGTTTAGGGTTTAGGGTTTAGGGTTTAGGGTCAAGCCAATCAAGCAAATCTTGCAAATACATCTGCGGTGTACCCTTTGTGGGAGACCAACACATTAGCTTAATTCAACCAACAATCTCAGTTGCAAGAAGGAGCTTTGAAGTTGCTATCAAGCGAAGATAGGCATTCTAGCGGTCATGAGGATGAGGATGCAGGGCGTTTAGTTTTGAGATATTTTCGGAACCTTTAGTGAGATGCCACCTTTAGCGAGATGACTTCAAGATTGTGCACCTGTGCATTTGGTCGCGCCAAGAGAACTCAGGGATCCGGTGATCTAACAGGGAGGCTGGGAATCCGGTTGTATCGTCACAGCAATCTATGGTTTCAAGGGATTAAGGTTTCCCTCAGTGTACTCGCAATATGGCCCTTACAGGGCCCCCAAAACCCAAGGGTACAACCTTAAGGGTCCAAGGTACAACCCCTAGATGCAGCGCCCAACAAGACACGACCTGCAAGTAGTGGCAGTTGACTCCCTTGGCATAATGGCGAGTCGTACCGAGATTGACACGGTTGTGGGGCTCGCTGAGCTCGGCGATTGTGCTGGACTGAAAAAGTTCACACCGCCAAACTTCGACTGGGCGAGTCATGGAACCGCAGAATTGCCGGCACTTCACTCTGCCATTGTGAAGGGCTTCTACAGAAGAGCTCCACATTCAAGCTGTTTGCAGGCTATTGGGTGGATGCTGGAGAATGGCGCAGATCCACAGCATACGGTGTCAATGGACAGCGACAGGCATGGAGATTTGTATGAGACCCAGGAAGAGTTTGACAATCGACTAGCTGGCGCAAGAATCTGCTACAAAGGGCATTCTGCACTTTCGCTTGTGCTCGCGCTGCTCAAGCACTGCAGCGAGAGCAGCGCCGACCTCAAGCTCGAGAAAGATTTTCTCTTGGGGACGCTGTCGGCCTTCAGCAGTTCCCAGAAGTCCAGGCGGGCCAAGGTTGAGGTAGATCTGAGTGTGGTCCAGCGATGGGCCGACATTCGCTCGAAGACCGCCACCCACAATGTCACTTTTGAGACTGCGGACGGTCCAGTGACGGCACATGACATAGCCTTGGTGGCCGCCTCTCCTGTCCTAGCAGCGATGCTCCAGTGCACCATGGCCGAAGGTGCCAGCAAGCGCATTCAAGTGAAGGACTCGTCAGCTGCTGGCGTGGAATTGTTCTTGGACATGGTGTACATGAGCGCAACAAGCAGCGACCCCGACTACAAGACGGTGCTTGCGGCCTTGGACCTCTCTCATCGCTGGCAGGTGCACGGAGTCGTCAGCATCTTCGAGGAGATTCTTGAAGGCATGCTCGTAAGCTCCAACTTTCCTGAAATAGCCGAGGCGGCCGTGCTGAAAGGTCTTGGGAATTTGGAGAGGGCATGCGCCAATTTGGCCAGGACAGACAAGGCCGTCCGGGCCTTGCTTAAAAAGGGCAAGTTGCACCCTGCTGTGATGAAGCTTGCTGGCCAGACAGCTGTGGACGATGAACCAGCGGCCAAGAAGCTGCGTACTTTCTGAGCTTGCTGAGCTTGCTGAGCTTGCTGAGCTTGCTGAGCTTGCTGAGCTTGCTGAGCTTGCTGAGCTTGCTGAGCTTGCTGAGCTTGCTTAGGGTTTGGGGTTTTGGGTTTAGGGTTTAGGGTTTAGGTTTAGGGTTAAGGGTTTAGGCCGGGTTTAGGGCTTAGGGCTTAGGGTTTAGGGTTTGGGTTTAGGGTTTACGGTTTTTGGGGTTAGGGTTTAGGGTTTAGGGTTTGCTGTGATAAGGCGTAGATGCTGTGAAGGTTAGGTTTCGGAACAAGCTCGAAAGCTTCGTGAGGTGCGAAGAGCAGCTTTGGCCCGATTGTGGAGGGCCATCTAACACTTTTCTCCCACCCCACGCCGTCCAAGGCGGCAAAGCCACCCAAACCTATTCCTTTTAGGGTTTAGGCCTAAACTCAGACAACAGTCCACTTCTAGGAACTTATTCAGTTTCACGATGTGGGCCGGGCACGCCGGCAGGCCCAAAAACTGATTTTTGAGCACCCGCCCTTGAGGCCCCCTAATCCTTGGGCACGCTGCGGTGAGGGGTCCGGGACCCCCTAGGCTGGGGCCGGAAGGTACCCCCCTGAAAAGGTCAGGAGTTTGCAGGGTCATGACCTCACACTTCAGGGTACTTGCCATAAAGTAAGGGACCAGTACTGGTACACGTCCCGAGGAGAACGTGTTCCGGTACCAGGCCCATCGTGGGCGGTACCGACCCCCATGCTGTGGGAGGCGGGCGAGCGACCTGGGTCGGCTTGTGCCATCGAGGTCAAAGGGCTTAAGCGCCGCGGCCTAGGCCCTGAGTTTAGGGTTAAGGGTTTAGGGTTGCCATAGATTGTGGTTCCACAGGCGCTCTGTGCAGGGCATGCCTGCACTGTAATGCGTAGCAGACTGCTGCAAAAGGCAGGGGAAAAGGGCAGACACGATGCGACTGCCGAAGATTCTTAAGAGCTCGCACCATCCTTGGCCTGGGGGGATGAAATGGGTTTAGGGTTTAGGGTTTAGGGTTTAGGGCTTAGGGTTTAGGGTTTAGGGTTCAGGTGGTTCAGGGTGTTCAAGGTGTTCAGGGTTCCTGCCACGGCTGCTGCCGTAGGACCATGCGCTGGCAGAGTGGCTGGATACGGACGAGTCCAAGACCAGGCGGGGCTCCTGCTAGCCAAACCCTAAACCCTAAACCCTAAACCCTAAACCCTAAACCCTTGACCCTACACCCTCAACCCTTCACCCTTAACCCTACACCCTAAACCCTAACCCTAAACCCTAACCCTAAACCCTAAACCCTAGCGAAGCTAGCAACAAAGGGTTCCATAAAGTTTCCCGAAGCGATGCTGTTGAAGGTCTGCGTGTTTCAACTTGCTGTCGATGCCCTCAGCCAAGCATCAATCCCGAGCTTCGATGTGAGGGTTTACTAACCCCTAAACCCTAAACCCTGAACCCTAAACCCCAAAACGTAAACCCTTAACTCTAAACCCTAATGGCCGGTAGCTACTGTTGCTTCTCATCCCGGTACTGCCAGGATGCCCACCTCACTATCAAACGAGCCATGGTGGTCTGAATCCTCCTCGTTCTTGATTTTAGGAGCGTTTAGGGGAAACCCTAAACCCTAAACCCTAAACCATAAACCCCAAACCCCAAACCCCAAACCCCAAACCCCAAACCCTAAACCCTAAACCCTAAACCCTAAACCCTAAACCCCGTCTTTGCAAGGGCAGCCAGCTGGACTCTGCGGACAAGCCTTGATGAACTCGTGGACGAAGGCATCCAGGCAGCTCTGGCACTCTGGCACAGTTGCGCTCTGAATATCGATTTACGAAAACATTGAGGTTTAGGGTTTAGGGTTTAGGGTTTAGGGTTCAGACCCCCCCCAAATAGCAGGATTACCTTGTACTAAGGACCCCAATAAGGTACCCCTAATGTCGGAAACCCCATATGCTTGTTGGGTTTCCTTATTTAGTACAAAATGAAGTTCAAACGTTTGTCCTGGAGAAGTTAAGTGTACAGAAAGATATCATGTTGTGTTGTGCATGTGCCTTCGCTGTGCATGGTACAAAGTGTATGGTGTGTCTCTATTTTTCTAGCTCGTTGCAGCTGCAAATGGAAATGTATATTATGTGTGCTTACACACATCATACCATGTCGCAAAACATCAAGTCAAGTCATATCATCTCATCTTATGGTATCACCCAGAGAGCCCAATACTCCTTAATTAAGGAAGATACCTTAATTAAATCATAAGAGGAATCCTAATATGATTCAAGGTATATTCCTTAATCGCGTACTTAGCGCACCTTGTAGTGCAGCATAGAGTGGCAGCCGGACCCAACCCCAAATCACCCTCCTGCCAAGCCCTAAGCCCTCAGCCCTAAGCCCTCAGCCCTAAGCCCTAAGCCCGAAGCCCTAAGCCCCAAGCCCTAACCCCTAAACCCTAAACCCTAACCCCCTAAACCCTCGCCCTAAACCCTAAGCCCGAAACCCGAAACCCGAAACCCTAAACCCTAAACCCTAAACCCTAACCCTAACCCTAAACGCTAAACCCCCCTAAACCCCTTCGATGTCCCCACCTCGACGCCGCTTGCAGCACCTGAAGCTGCGGGACTGGATCCGGCAAGAGTTCTATGCGGGGAGGCGCGGGGAGCTAGCAGGGTTTAAGGGTTAGGGTTTACACTAAACCCTAAACCCTAAACCCCAAACCCCAAACCCTAAACCCGAAACCCTAAACCCTAAACCCGAATTTGGGGGGTTAAAGCCGAAGCCCTAAACCTCAAACCGCATCGAGTGGCTTTGTTGCAGCATAGCTATCCACCCCGGGAAGATCCCTATCTGTGTTTAGGGTTTCGGGTTTAGGATTTGGGTTTAGGGTGTAGGGTTTAGGGTTTAGGGTTGAGGGTTGAGGGTTGAGGGTTGAGGGTTGAGGGTTGAGGGTTGAGTGTTTACAGCTTGAGGCCGCACAGTGTTATAGGAATAAAGATGGGAAGTACCCGAATGATTGTTGTAAGTTGGGGTCCCTTTCGGGGATCCTGCGTCTAAGGATTCCATATCGTACCCTAAACCCGAAACCCTAAACCCTAAGCCCCAAACCCTAAACACTAAACCCTAAACCCAGTCAGAGAGTTCTAAGTTGCAACAACCTCCTGTGTGACTGCATTGTGCCATTTCGAGGCCAATGTTGCCGCTGAGGCTGATCCAGAGGTGGGGAGATGCGGAATGTTTCAGAGCAGGGTTTAGGGTTTAGGGTTTAGGGTGTAGGGTTTAGGGTTTAGGGTTTAGGGTTCTAGGGCAGCCCATGCCATGATTTCTGAAGAGCTTAAGCCCTAGATGCCAAACCCATCCTGGCTAGTGCTCCTGATGCCTCAAGAAGTCTCTGGTTGGGGATAGCTCGTCTCTGAGCCCTAAACCCTAAACCCTAGACCCTAGACCCTAAACCCTAAACCCTAAACCCTAAACCCTAAACCCTAAACCCTAAACCCTAAACCCTAAACCCTAAACCCTAAACCCTAAACCCTAAACCCTAAACCCTAAACCCTAAACCAATCTTACCCAGATGCCGCACGCTGCGGGATCTCGCTTCCCACGTGACCTTCACGCGCGACTCCCAGAACAGCCTTGGCTTCTCGATGGGTTTAGGGTTTAGGGTTTAGGGTTTAGGGTTTAGGGTTTAGGGTTTAGGGTTTAGGGTTTAGGGTTTAGGGTTTATATCCCTCATGTCACTGTTAGTGAACTTTAGTGGCCATCACCCCAGTATGTAAAGGCCCCTACGTGGGAACACCTGAACTATGGTCGAGTTCTGAAAGTTATCGTCCCTTTTTTGGTACCCGAAATAAGAGGGGCCGCCTTACAATAAGGACTCCAAAAGGGACCCTAATCTAGCGAAATCACCACATCTCTTTTTTCAAGTGTGTGCTCCTCGAAATCCAGCACCCCCTCCCCTCAGGTCGGACAACTTTGCCAAGAAGCGCCAGCGTGCACGGGTGGGCGGCCTTGTCGTGGTGATGTTTTTTTACACTTAGGTTCCCGTGTACGCCTCTTTAAGTAAGCCAAACAGGGTACACTGTTTTTCCTAGGTTACTCTTCGATCCCTAAACCCCAAACCCTAAACCCTAAGCCCAGACCCCGAACCCAAGCTCCAAGTCCCAAACCCTAAACCCCAAACCCGAAACCCGGAACCCTTTTTATTCCTAGGTTACTCTCAGGGGCCCAAAAGCCCACATAAAGATAAGGATCCTACTATTGGGGTACAAGGGCCCCTGTAAGGTGGATTCCGAAAAAAAAACTGTTTGTAGGATCCTTATGTTTATGTGGTTTTTTGGGCCGCCATGCTCTTGGCGGTTGAGTGCCCAGGCGCAGGGTTTTTCAGGTCTCATGGTTATGGGCAACCAGGTGCCAAGGCACTGCCGGTTGCATTTTGATCTTCATGGCCTCCCCTACATGTCGCTGCGGCAGCTTAAGGTTCTTTACAGGTAAAGAATAGAGACTGAAGCTTTCGACTTCTGTGGGGGTTTAGGGTTTAGGGTTTAGGGTTTAGGGTTTAGGGTTCAGGGTTCAGTGTTCAGGGTTCAGGGTTCAGGGTGTCGTCTGTCTTCTTCAAATTGGGTTTCAGGATGAATGTCACCAGCTGTCACCCAGGTGTGGTATCGTTCCACGCTGCGCAACCTCCTGGACAGCTCTGAAGTTCGGTGGCCTCGGAGACTTTGGGGTGTTCCCCCCTATACTAACAGTCCTGAACTTTATGGTGCTTTACTGTAACTTCAGATCCTTAGCCTTTTTGGGTTTATTGGGTTTCTGAAAAAAGGCAGCTAAAAATTAATTTTTAGCTACCCCCTTAAGTGCAGCCAAGTTAAATAGGATTATCATAGGGGTACTAGAATCCCGTTCAAGGGCTCTTCGCTTTAGGGGTAACCTCCCCATGGATATTGCGTGAAGCCGCAGGAGTAGCACCCAAAAATGAGGTGATGTTTTCAGGGTTTAGGGTTTAGGGCTGAGTGTTTTGGGTTTAGGGGCATCTTTGGGGCAGGACCACGTTCCTTCCGACATCACGAAGTTCCAGCCGTTCACCTGCCAAGGACTTGGCAGATTCGAGTGCGAACTTCGTTTTGGGCTTCGGAGGTTCCAATTTAGGACTACCCTAAACCCTAAACCCTTAACCCTAAACCCTAAACGATAAACCCTAAACACTAAACCCTAAACCCTAAACCCCACACCTGACACCGACCTGGCCAACTTGGAGGTTCATGGGACTTAATAACCACTTATACCTGGGCCTATAACCCTACTTATAATTGGGATAGCCCTTACAAGGCCCTTTAGGGGTATTCTAAGTACAGTTCTAAGTACAGTTATATCTAGTTACTAAGTACCAGGAACCTCCAAGAAGAGCCGACTCACGCGGTGAAGGAACTGACGATGTGACAGTCTTACACGCCTTGATGCTAGCTGGTAGACTTTACTACAACTTTTTTTTTATCACATTAATAAGTTTAGGGTTTAGGGTTTAGGGTTTAGGGTAACTTCATATTGAGGGAGCTAAAAGTTAAACTTTTATTGGGGGGGTAATCAGCAACCAAGGATAGCTTCGCTTGTGTTCCCTAAACCCTAAACCCTAAACCCTAAACCCTAAACCCTAAACCCTAAACCCTAAACCCTAAACCCTAAACCCTAAACCCTAAACCCTAAACCCTGAACCCTGAACCCTAAACCCTAAACCCTAAACCCGAAACCCTAAACCCTAAACCCTAAACCCTAAACCCTAAACCCTAAACCCTAAACCCTAAACCCTAAACCCTAAACCCTACCCCCCCAAAAGAGTGGCGAAGAGTGGCGAGGACTCGGGGATGGCGCCAGCGCCCAGCGGAATGCGGCTTGTGATTGAGCCCCAAGAGTGTAGAAGGAGCAAAAGAGTGGGTTTAGGGTTAAGGGTTTGGGGTTTAGGGTTTAGGGTTTAGGGTTTAGGAAGCAGGGTTTAGGGCTTGCAGCTTGTCAGGGTTTTGGGGACTCTGAGAGAGCTTAGGGTTTTGAGGGGTCGAGGGTTTAGCCTTCAGGGTTTAGGGTTTATGGTTAGCGCGCAGGGCTACACCGTAAGCATCCCTAAACCCTAAACCCTAAACCCTAAACCCTAAACCCTAAACCCTAAACCCTAAACCCTAAACCCTAAACCCTAAACCCTAAACCCTAAACCCTAAACCCCCCTAAACCCTAAACCCTAAACCCTAAACCATGGACCCTGCAGTGTTCGGGTTTGAAGATATTCGGATGAAATGAGGGTTCTGGGAGCATCCCGGGCCAGACTTTTATTCCTAACACCCTGAATCCCGAAGTTTGGGCAGGGGGGAGCGTTTAGGTTTAGGGGTTAGGGTTTGGGGTTTAGGGTTTAAGGTTTAGGGTTTGGTGCTTAGGGCTTAGGGTTTAGGGTTACATCTTGAAGCTCTAAACCTTGCAAGACAGGCATTCACCCTCCACGGCTAAGCCGGTAGCCAAAGTGGCTGCAGACCCAAACACCATGGTTCCCGACGGTGCTGGCGGGCGCTACTGACTTACATGTGCTTGGCTTGACCGGTTTAGGGTTTAGGGTTTAGGATTGAGGGTTTAGGGTTTAGGGTTTAAGGCTTAGGGTTTAGTTTGTTTCATTTTGATCGTGGTGTCGTTCAAGACGGTATGGGCATGGTGTACTCCATCGTCTCTTAGACCCAGAGTATCGCCGATCACTGGTCAGCATGAATTCAACAGCCCAAGCCCATCTGAGTCGTGTGCATAGATAGCATCCGTGTCCCTCAGTGTCCGTGAGGAGGTGTTGGCGGCTTCTCAATATTGAATATCAGCAATAGTATACATGTTCATAGTTTAATAAATCAATAAAATAGTAACAAGAATCATAATACAAAGGTTTTCAGTTGCAGCAAAGCCCCAATGGTCTGCTAGAACTTGTCTGTCTTTCTTACCTTCCCGGATGCGTGCTCTCCAAATAAAAAAGTTTCTATTTAGTGAGTAGATTTTTTTATTTAGGCAATGCGAACTCAATAAACTGGTGCTACTTGCACTTCCTTATTGAGAACGCCGGACTCGTACATTGACCCTGTGATTTCCTGACATGAACCTAGGTAGCTCTCGGGATATTACATACTTTCCCTTCTTGGGCTTACAAGGTTCATATTTAGGACTACCTTTCTGAGGGGTTTAGGGTTTAGGGCTTTGGGGTTTAGGGTTTAGGGTTTAGGGTTTAGGGTTTAGGGCTAGGGTTTAGGGCATGAACTGAGTTTGAGAAGCTTGCTCACGACCTCCGTTTTTCCCTGTCGGAAGCCTTTGAAGACCGCGGACCCGGTGAGAAGGTGGCGCTTGGCTCCTCTAAGCCGGCGCGTTCGCCACCGGAGCTCGCTATCATATATATATATATACATATATATATATACACGTATATATATATATACACATATATACATATATACATATATATACATATATATATATATATATTCCATATAAAACCATGTATACCTCAAACTATATATATATATATATACACATGTGCATATATATATATATACATACACGTATATGGGTATGTGTCTGTCTATACATGAGCTCTAGACTTAACCCCAGCACCTCACCCATAGGGCTGGACGCGACCTTGTGACAATCGGCAGACGACGCGGTGGCATCTGCCGCGTCAAGCTCCCACTCCAGCTGCGCGTCTGATTAGTTAGGGGTTAGGGTTTAGGATTGAGGGGTACTTTGTATGGTAGCTCCCCAGCAGAAACCATGTGACCCTTACAGGGACGCCTAGCTTTGAGTTCCTCCATCTTTCTGCCACATGTGCGCGACGCACGGGCGAAAAATGTCATCCCCGGGTGATGAACCTGCAGACGTCATGCGGCCACCATTGCATGGGTTCCTCACCCTAAACCCTAAACCCTAAACCCTAAACCCTAAACCCTAAACCCCCTAAACCATCATTTTGCCATAACCCTGATGCAGCGTGCGGAACAAGGATGGCTCCTACCTCAGCAGCCTGGCAACTAAGCAACCCCTCAGCCAGTGGCAGAAGCCCTAGACTTGGTGTTTTAAGACAGACAGAGTCCCTAAGCCCTAAACCTACCTTACCTGCCAAGGCTGACATTCCCTCTCCCTCTCCCCTTAATGAATGAATTTATCCTCTACATTCTCAACGGAACCCTAATATGATTTAAGGTATGTTCCTTAATTAAGGGGCCTTTAAGGGGACTCTAAGGTTGGCTAGCCCTATGCCCTGGGCCCACCTGGGCAGCAGGCTTACTTGTTCTTAGTAGGAGGGAAGCCTAAACCCTAAACCCTAAACCCTAAACCCTAAACCCTAAACCCTAAACCCTAAACCCTAAACCCTAAACCCCAACCCCCAAACCCCAAAACGCTGTCATCCTTTGCCACCACCCAGTTGGAGTTCCCTTGTCTCCAAGCCTTTCCGACATTTCTTCGTCCACTTCTGGAAGACGGACTTTTAGGGTTGAGGGTTTAGGGTTTAGGGTTTAGGGTTTAGGGTTCAGGGTTTAGGGTTTAGGGTTTAGCGTTTAAGGTTTAGGGCTTGGGGTTTAGGGTTTATGTGATGTTTGTTTGTACGAATGTACATGTATTTTGATGAAACTGCTCCTCGAACGGTGGCGTGGTATCTTTTTTTCTGCTTACTCTACCACTGTTCCTGATGCTGGTTGGACAGGCTGCGCAAATGTTTAACGTTGCGCGCTATGCATTCACAGGACCTCATGATTATTTCGTTTGGTTGGGAGTGTTTGATCAGCTGAGGGATCCTTTTGTGATAGAATGTCCTGGTGGTCGCTCCCTTAATAGAAAGCTCTAATCATTCTTAGCTATGGTAACGTTCACACTCACAACAAAATTTTTTGATACTTTGTAAATATGATCTTGCAAAACCACATTGCCTTGGATATTTGAATAATTTGATTTGGCAAAAGAAGACTCTCAGCAGGCAGGCGAGGGGCTCCCCATTTTCAATACTGGAGTACGAAGAGGTGAAATGGTCGGCGAATCGTTGCGACCACAGCTACATGTCACGATGACACTTCCATGGGCGGTTGCACCACCCTAAACCCCAAACCCCAAACCCGAAACCCTAAACCCCAAACCCTAGACCCTGAACCCTAAACCCTGAACCCTAAACCCTAAATCTTTGTCGGCAGGCCATCCAGTGCCTCACCTTGCATCACCACATGGCCATCTTATCAAACTCCTGTGCGCCCAGGTAGCCCCAGTCTAGGCCTTTATGGGAGGTTGCGATACTAGGGAGTACTTGGGATGTTCGAACAGTCCTTAAGGATGATAGTACCCCCTATTAGAATCCCCATTAAGGACTGTCAGTATAAGAACATCCCAAGGGGGTACTTTATTGGGGTCCTTATGATAAGGGAATCCTGCGATTTTGGGGTCTATGTTAGGGGTCCCATAGTTTCGTAAACCCCTCGGTTTAGGGTTTAGGGTTTAGGGTTTAGGGTTTAGGGTTTAGGGTTTAGGGTTTAGGGTTTAGGGTTTAGGGTTTAATCCTTATAGAAACGCCAGGGGCCCCTTTCTGAGACCGATATGTACGGACTGGGGTAGCAGCTGAGGAAGAAGCTGCGGAAGGCAAAAACTTAGACCCTAAACCCTAAACCCTAAACCCTAAACCCTAAACCCTAAACCCTAAACCCCAAACCCTAAACCCTAAACCCTAAACCCTAAACCCCAAACCCCAAACCCTAGACCCTAAACCCTAAACCCTAAACCCTAAACCCTAAACCCTAAACCCTAAACCCTAAACCCTGGCGGCCGTGTAGGAAAGTGGCGGCTGTGGTGCACCCATGGGCTCAAAGGTGACGGAGAATCTGAAGTCAGCACAGATATAGTGATACAGCAGCCGGGTGCTAGGGTTTAGGGTTTAGGGTTTCGGGTTTCGGGTTTAGGGTTTTAGGAAGTCTATGGTTGAAATTTCGGATCTTTTTTTTTTTTTTTTTTTTGGGGGGGGGGTGTAGAGTCTTTCCAAAGTGCAGTGTTTCGTTTTCTGCATTGACTTATCTTCCGAAGCCCCAAACCCTAAACCCTAAACCCCAAACCCTAAACCCTAAAAACACCATTCAAGCCATGGGGCTTCTAGCCTGAAGCATCTAGATCCACCTGCCATTAGCACGTCTGTCGGTAGTGGGAGCCACGGCGGCGCCAGGTTCGAAGCCCCAAACCCTAAACCCTAAACCCTAAACCCCAAACCCCAAACCCCAAACCCTAAACCCTAAACCCTAAACCCTAAACCCTGCAAATCCAGGCCTGACAGCCGGCGCGCCGTTCTCCCCATCCCCCCAAGCCCGCGCGTAAAGCCTGACACCAATCAGCCCATGTCCAAATTCCCTCCAAGCTCTACAAACGCCAATATCAGGTTCCATCAGCCTGGAAACCCTAAACCCTAAACCCTAAACCCTAGACCCTAAACCCTAAACCCTAAACCCTAAACCCCAAACACCTAAACCCTAAGCCCTAAACCCCAAACACCTAAACCCTAAACCCTAAACCCGATAAAGGCCCTTTAAAGCCATGGCGAGCCTCCGGATCGATGGCAGTGGCGCGCCCTGGCACCCGGGTGCCGTGGCTTCGTGAGGGCCCTCAGTGGGTTTCCTTTGTGGTACTTTGCTTTGTGGTGCTTTAGGGTTCAGGGTTTAGGGTTTGGGGTTTGGGGTTTAGGGTGTAACTTTGCATCCCTAGCCGTTTTGGGTTTATTAGCCCTTTAGATCCTTAGCCTTTTTGGGTTTATTGGGCTTCTGAATAAGGCAGCTAAAAATTTAGTTTTTTGCTACCCTCCTAAGTGCAGCCAAGTTTCGAAGGGAGTTTCAAGGCTTTAGGTGTCTTCTGAGGGTTTAGGGTTTAGGGTTTAGGGTTTAGGGTTTAGGGTTCAGGATTTAGGGTTTCCGGTTTCAGGGTTAGGGTTTAGGGTTTAGGATGTAGGTGCTTTAAGTGGGACTTGCGAGGGGTTTTACAGGTGGTTTAGGGGTTGAAGGTGTTTGGTTCTTGGGTTTTCATGTTTTAGGGAGTGGCCTAGTCCCTAAACCCTAAACCCCTGCGGGGGCGTGGCCGCTTTAGAGCCTTTGTAAAAGGGTCGATAAGGGAGGGGGCGTTCATGGGGGGGTAGGTATCCAGGGAACCTTAGGGAAGCTTCAGGGGAGCCTTAGGGAGTAGTTGGGCTCTTGCGCTTTGGGAATTTTGGAGGTTTTTGGGTTTTTAGGGTTGTCGGGTCTTATTTAGGGGTGAAAGGGGGTCTTTTTTGTTGCGGGTCCTTGTCAGTAGACTGCGGAAACGAAAAAGACCACCTCTCATAGGACGGTAGGTCCCGGTATATTGTATCATGTATTCACTCAAACATGCAATCCCTCAACAAGAAAAGCAGACGTAAAGCAAAACAATTGATGAACAGGGCAACAGCAAAAGGACCCCGATGCTGAGGCTGCAAGTATCACTTGGCCCTTATACTAACAGTCCTTAATAGGGATTATAGCACCCCCTATGAGAATCCCCATGAAGGACTGTTGTTGTATGAGGGGGAACATCCCAAACTATCACCTTAGGGGCCTCAAGGAGCCCTGGCCGCCTGTGCCCCCCCCTCCCCCCCCCCCCTCCACCACTGGAGGCCCGTCTACAGCCGGCTGCCTACAAATGGCCGGGGCCCTCCTTCTTATAGGGTTCAGGGTTTAGGGTTTAGGAAGTGGGGTTTAGGGTTGAGAGTTTTTTAGGGTTGAGGGTTTAGGGGTTCCTAGGGGAGGGGGGTTTCAAGTTTCAAGGGGGCTATGTAACCCCAGTACTCCCCACTACTCCCTAAGGCTCCCGAAGCTTCCCTAAGGTTCCCTAGCCATTGCCATGAGCCCCCCCTCCCTCAAGAACCCTATAATCATTCTGCGGCATGCGTGCACCCGTGAACACCTGTACACCCCAAACCCTAGACCGCAAACCACTAAACCCCTAGGCACTCTGGAATCCCTTAAGCTTTCAGGCTTATAGATATTATGAAAAGTATAGTCCCTTTTTGGATCCCGATTATAATACGGCACCTCATATTGAGGGTACCCCGGGAGGGATCATAATTTTGACAGCCACTCAGATGGGGAATCTGATTTCATTCCTTAGTTGAGGAACATTGGGCTCTTGTGGTCGATGGCAGCACTCACCACTTCAACTGGTTTAGGGTTTAAGGTTTAGTGTTTAGGCAAGAGGCCAGCGGGTTGTAGGAACTGGGGGGTCGGGGGGGGGGGGGCTGTGGGGAGCCTAGGCTTATGTTTATAGGGTTTGGGATTTGGGGTTTAGGGTTTAGGGGGGTTTGGGGGCCTCAGATTTCGCAGCTTCTGTGCCGCCAGGGGACGACTCCGGCCCAGACGTCGAGATCCCCGAAGTGATGAATGAGGCCTTCACGTAGGACAACACCGACCTTTTGAGGACTAGATTGAACCCTAAGAGGTCTTATGGTTCATGCACCTTAAACCCGAAACCCTAAGTAAACGCAGGACAACACCGGCCTTCTACTATTTGCTGAAGAACCCCCCCCCCAAAGATTCAACATGGAAATCCCGATATTGGCCCTTATAGGGATGAGTTTTCTATTTCTGGAGGGGGGCGGAGGGGGTTCTCAAGCAATTAGTAGCCTTCAAGGACTAAAATTGAACCCTAAACGGGTTTATGGTTCATATGCCTTGAACCCTAAACCCTAAACCCTAAACAAACCCTAACTGTAGTATAGGGTATAACCGGGGCTCATTTGGTCCTAGGGTGAGATGGCTCCTGTGTTTTGTGTTTTTGCCTCTGATGCCACGCTGCAATACTAGAGAGAGTCCTTCGAACGGCAGTAGGGTTGAGGTGTAGGGTTTAGGGTTGAGGGTTTGGGGGGTTTAAGGTTCAGGGTTCAGGGTTCAGGGTTTAGGGTTTAGGGTTTAGGGTTTAGGGCGCACCAACAAGCACGAACGCCCGAACCTGATTACTCCCACCACCACGCACCGTTCAAGTCGCCCCTACGTTTCCATCCAGAAGACCTCAAAAAACGGTGCCGCCCTGAACCCTAAACCCCAAACCCTGAACCCTGAACCCTAAACCCCAAACCCTAAACCCTAAACCCCAAACCCTAAACCCTACACCCAAACCCTAAACCCTAAACCCTAGCGCCAAAGCCCAAATCCAAGGGCACCCCCGCAGAAGAAGAGCCGGCGAGGCCGCCCTCTCAAGCACGAGCCACGAGACGTAGGGTTTAGGGCTTAGGGCTTAGAGTTTAGGGTTTGGGGTTTGGGGTTTAGGGTTTAGGGTTTAGGATTTAGGGTTTAGGGTCAATGTGCTGGAGCACATCCGCGAACCAGCGCCCAGAGGGCAATGGCCGACCAGCCTGCCTCGCGTCTGGGCAAGCCTTCGGAGCTTCCAAGACGGATTGTACCTTATAACCCCCTTAAAAAGGCCCTTTATAAGATTGATTATGGGGATTATAGGTATGAGCCCCTATAATCCCCATAGTCAATCTTTTAAAGGGCCTTTTTAAGGGGTTGTAGGGTACAATAAAGGGCCTTTTTAAGGGGTTCTAGGGTACAGTAAAGGGCCTTTTCAAGGGTTAGTAGGGCATCATCGCCCGCCCATGGTTGTCAGTAGGCAAGAAGTGGCGGGACGACCGGTGCAGTGCACGGTCTGCGCAGTCTTCTCCTTGCCGTACTTGAATTGCCGCTTGGCTGGCAGCAAGCCGGCGATAAGTCAGGCCCTCCAGGCGCCCCAACCCTAAACCCTAAACCCTAAACCCTAAACCCTAAACCCTAAACCCTAAACCCTAAACCCTAAACCCTAAACCCTAAACCCTAAACCCTAAACCCTAAAACCCTAAAACCCTAAAACCCTAAACCCTAAACCCTCTAAACCCTCTAAACCCTATAAACCCTACAAACCTTATAAACCCTATAAACCCTAAAAACCCTATAAACCCTATAAACCCTATAAGCCCCATACACCCTATAAACCCTATAAACCCTATAAACCCTATAAACTCTATAAACCCTATAAACCCTATAAACCCTATAAACCCTATAAACCCTAAACCCTAAACCCTAAAGCCAAAGCCCTGAGCCCCAAACCTAAGGCGGCCCTGAGCCGATAAATGTAATCCCCCAATGAGTTTTTTGCAAAAAGGTAGCTTAAACTGCCTCAAGCAGGTCCCTCAACCCCTCAACCCCCTCAACCCCTAAACCTCTAAACCCTAAACCCTAAACCCCCTAAACCCTAAACCCTAAACCCTAAACCCTAAACCCTAAACCCTAAACCCTAAACCCTAAACCTTAAACGACCCCAAAAGTTCTGGGATCCCCTCGCCGCCGCGCAGAAGCGCTGCCCGCCACGGTCGCCGGCAAAGTCGGCGAGGTCCAATCGGGAGCGCAGGCCCGGGGTTTAGGGTTTAGGGTTTAGGGTTTAGGGTTTAGGGTTTAGGGTTTAGGGTTTAGGGTCCCGGCAGACTTCGAGTTTGCGGATGCTAAGGGTGTTAGGGTTCAAAGCGGTTTAAGGTTTAGGGTTGGGGTTTAAGGGCTTCAGGGCTTCAAGGGTGTTAGGTTCGAATCAAGGGATTCAGACTCGTACCCCTAAGGTTGTACCCTAAGGTTGTACCTCTACGTTCCCCTTAATATACTCCTAATATGGCCCTGATCTTCCCTTAGGGATCGTTAAAAGGGACCCAAAACCCAAGGGTACAACCTGAAGGGTCCAAGGCCCCTAGATCCAAAAACGTTGGGGTTTTGAGGCGTTGAAGCGCTTTAGGGGTTTAGGGCTTAGGCCTTGGGGCTTAGGGTTTAGGGTTAGCCTTACAGCAGTACATCCTCAAACGTCCCCAACAACAACCTCCAGAGCCCGAACCCTGAGCGAAAACACCCCCCAGAGCTTGTAGCCTCCGTAAATCCTCGCGCCCCAAAACTCCTCCTCCCCCCCCCCCCCCAAAAAAAAAAACCAAAAAAAACAAAAAAAAACCTCTAAAACCCTGAAACGCCCCCCCAAACCTTGGGGAGTTTCCGCTTTCCGGTTCAATCTGGTCCTCACCTTGGGTCTCAGGGTCTTCGGGCCCTGTCACAGGGGGCCTTCCGAGCCTCAGCCAGTTGAGGGGTTTGGTGTTCAGGGTTTAAGGGTTTAGGGTTTAGGGGTCTAGGGTTTAGGGTTTAGGGTTTAGGGTTTAGGGTTTAGGGTTTAGGGCGTGCCCAGGAGAAGCGCGCCTTGTGAGCGCGCATTGGTCTGCAGACCTACCCACCCCAATACCGCTCTCACGGAGCTAAGGCCTTCTTTCTTCTTTTTTGCAAATCAACATGTAGTCTTGATGTCCGCACTGAAACCACCCTAGACCCTAAACCCTAGGCCCTAAACCCTAAACCCTAAACCCTAAACCTTAAACCCTAAACCCTAAACCCTAAACCCTAAACCACCTATGAGTTGTGTCACATGGGTTGCTTGGAGCAGTTGGGGCACTCGGGTTGCCTGGGGTCAGACTTGGGAAAGGTTTTACAAGTTTTTTGGCTGTAGGGTTTTGGGGTTGTATGGTCTTGGAGTTTAGGTTTCAGGCTTCTAGGGCTTTAGGATGATTAGGGGGGGAGTTTAGGGTTTAGGGTTTAGGGTTTAGGGTTTAGGGTTTAGGGTTTAGGGCTTAGGGCTTAGGGTTTACGGTTTAGGGCTAAACAATAAGTTCAGGAAGATGCTCGTCACAAGTGACGACCACTTTGTCCGGTCCGAGCTGGTAACGCAGGCCCGGGGCCCAAACTTGGGGGGCTTTCGGCATGCGACCCTCAACCCTACACCCCAAACCAAATGTATAAACCCAAAGCCTTATATGAACCCGTATAAACCCTAAGTCCTAAGCCCTGAGCCCTAAGCCCTAAGCCCTGAACCCTAAACCCTAAATCCTAAACCCGAAACCCTAAACCCAAAACGCTAAACCCAAAACCCAAAATCCTAAGCCCAAAACCCTGAACCTTAAACCCTAAAATTTAAACCCTTAGCCCTTAACCCAAAACCCTAAACCCTAAACCCTAAACCCTAAACCCTAAACCCTAAACCCTAAACCCTAAACCTTCATGCCGAACCCATGGTTGACGTAGCCTGCAGTTGCGAGAAGCGGTCGGTAGCTGCCGTTGCACATGCCTTCCACGTGTGCCACAGCAGGTTGCTCACCGAGTGTCGGGGTTCAAGATCATGGCACCTGAGGGGAAACCTATATGAACCCTAAACCCTAAACCCTAAACCCTAAACCCTAAACCTTAAACCCTAAACCCCCAACTCTAATCCCTGAACCTTCCCATGGCTCAGGCAGCAGAGCTCTGCCCCACTTGTGGAAATTCTCTGAAGGCCGGAGCTTTGAACACCAAGCCCCAAGCCCCAAGCCCCAAGCCCCAAATCCCAAGCCCCAAACTAAACCCCAAACCCCTAAACCCCAAACCCCTAAACCCTAAACCCTAAACCCCAAACCCCTAAACCCCAAACCCCTAAACCCTAAACCCTAAACCCCTCAATCCTCAGCCCTTCAAACCCCAAGAAATCTCAGGACTTTGGGCTGAGTGGCGGGAGGGCGGGGGGTCTTTCCGTTGGGTCCCTAGTATGGGGTGTAGGGTTTAGGGTTTAGGGTTTAGGGTTTAGGGTTTAAGGTTTAAGGTTTAGGGTTTAGGGGGGGTTCCAGGAAAGAGTTGAGGGTTGAGGGCTTCTGGGTCCCAATTGCATCTACATGTAGAACATGCCTTGTGCTCTAGGCCTAGACTAGAACGGCCCCACATCAAGCGCCACTTACACCATGATCTCCGCGATGTTACCCTAAACCTAGATAAACCCTGACCCAAAACCCCAAACCCAAAATCCAAGACCCTAAACCCTAAACCCTAAACCCTCAACCCCCCTGTAACTTGAAATTATTAAGAAAAGCAAAACTCCTCGAAACTCCTCGAAACTTTCCCCGGACCTGAACCCTTAATAATTTCAATAAACCCTAAACCCTAAACCCTGAACTCTACTTTCTGTGGAGTGCTCGAAAAGGATGCCATGGTCTTTCGGATTCAGAGTTTTGTTGGTTGGCATGTGTTGCTTTGGGGGCCCAATAGACTTATAGGGCTTAGGGTTCAGGGTTTTTGGATTTAGGGTTTAAAGGCCTAGAGGGTTAGTAGGATTTATTGCGTTTATGAGGTTTGTCGAGTTTAGGGTTCAGGGTCAAGTAGGGAAAGGCCCGAGCCTGACAAGCAGCCACTGAGAGCCAGGAGTCTTTCACGGGCCTGGGAATTGTGGCTTCGCGCCCCTGCAAAAAGGAGAGGGTTTAGGGTTTAGGGTTTAGGGTTTAGGGTTTAGGGGTTAGGGTTTAGGGTTTAGGGTTTAGGGTTGGAGGTTCATGGTACGTATAACCCAATAATGACTGTAATATAGGGTCGGAATAAATTCTAGTAATATTCCGTGATGGTCCCTTTGGAATCATACTATAGTAACCCCCAAAATCCTGTTCGAATTATTAAGGCTCCTACAGGATTACGCCCAGCGTTTTGGAGTTTTGAGGTTTGGGGAATTTCAAGCTGAGGGCTGTCCCCAATGCCTTTGAGCCCTAAACTGATCTCATTGAACAGGATGGATGTTCTGCGTAAGTTAGATAGTAGAATTCTGTGGCATCTCACACCGTTAGAGTTTTAAGTCGAACTTTTCACATCTTGAGAACCTGTAACCTCCAACCCCCAAAATCCCAAACCACAGAGTGTACAGGCAGTACGCAAACCCCCATACCCTTCAAGCCCTAGCAATCCGGCACCAAACCCCAACGGTTTAGGGTTTGGGGGTTTAGGTTTTAGGGTTCAGGGTTCAGGGTTCAGGGTTTCGGGTTTAGGGTTTAGGGTTTAGGGTTACTTTTAGGGTTTAGGGTTTCGGGTTTAGGGATACTTCTGTGGGTTTTAGCCGGCAATCCTGTGGCCGAGGATTTATACAGAGATGCCGCCACGGCACTTGATGCACTTCCTCTTCGTCTTCTTCTCCTACCTCCTCGTGATTCTGACCGGGGCGGTGTCTGGGCAATGAGCATCCGGGGGTTTAGGAGGGTGGCCTGGAAGGATCCCTAAACCCTAAATTTAAGAGCCTCCGGCTCAAGCCGCCGACCCCGCTGGAGCATAGTTGCAAGGTTTATACGCGCTCGTCAGCTCAAAGGATGCCAAAAGTTGATTTGCTTGAGCCTCTGTGAAACGTTGGGGGGGGGGGGGGAGGGGGTAGCACCAGGACCCAAACAGGAGCTGAAGCCAGCTTGAAGGAGGGGGGGTGGGGGGGTAGGGGGGGGTAGGGGGGGGTAGGGGGGGGTAGGGGGGGTAGGTGGGGCGGGGGGGAGGGGTGGGGGGGGCTGGGTTTTTACAAAGGATTTCTATGTCCTGTGCGAAACCCGGTGTGGGTGGCCTGGCCCGGGTACCCCCCTACCCCCCCCCCCCCTCCTGCCGCGTTTTGGGGGGGTAAGTGCTGGTGATGCTGGTGGTTGTGCTGGCCATTGCTCTTGCGGCTATGTTTTCGCAGCACCTGTCGGATGAGATTGCTGGGCATTAGCACACTGAGTTGCAAGTTGGCAACTGCATGGGGCCTGTTGAGGTGCTGAGCTGTTTGCGCTCATTGCGTGAAGAGATGCGAGCAGCATACGCCCAGATCGAAGCCGTCAAGGTGCAAAGTGCCAGTCCACGACATGTTGTTTGAGCAAGCCGCGCGTAGCATGTCCAGGCGGAAGCTCGCCAGACTATTCGCATCATGGCGTCCCGCTTTGCTGCTTTACAGGCCATGCCGCACGTGGCTTGTGCACATGTCGCGCTGGCAGTTTTTCCGGCCAATTAGGCTGAGCGTGACGAATTTGAAGCAGAACGAGACGACCTGGAGGCGTGCTTGGATTTGCTTGTCCGGGTTGCCGTGCTCCAACATCTAGACCGCACGTCGCCTTGCAGCAGGTCCTCAGCCTGTAACCCTGAAACCATTTAAACCTGAAACCCCATGTTGCAGGCCATATAAGCCACACTCCTAAGTCCTGAAACCCTGAACCTTACGCATGACCCGAATTCATCTGCGTACGCCCTCGAAACCCTCAACTCCACCCAAATCCTAGACCCTAAACCTCTGAACCTGAGCCTGAAGCATCTGAAGCTCTAAACTTCTATAACTTCCTTTATCTCCACTGCCCGGGTGTTTAGCCGCAGGCCCAACTGCAAGATGAGCGGCTGGTCCTTTACGACGAAAGCGAGCTCAATGTCAACATGAACTCCCTTTACGGCTCAGGCATGTTTGGAACTGTCGTATCAGCAACACTTGCGCTTCCGGCCGATTCAGTCAAAGTCGCGCTGAAGAGGCAAGCCTGCCGGGCTTCGGACTTCGGAGCTAGGGAATCAGGGTTGGTTGTTCGTGCTCCACCCCGGTTCGCTCGGTATTTCGCTCATGTGTTCTTTGTTTGCTTAACGCGCTGTCCGCTTAAAGTATCCGGGAATCCGGGAAGCTATATAGAACACACCGACTTCGCACTGGCAACATGGGGGCAAAAGCATCAGGAATCTTGAACTTGGGCCTAGCTAAAGGCATCTTCACACAAGAGACAGTGCAAACGCGACGAGGGTAAACAGCGCCAAGACACGCTGCAAACAAGTGGGGGTTGTAAAGCGGACCGACAAGACACACTGCAAACAAGATTGGTAACGAGCGCCAATTGCACACGCGGCGAACAATGAGGGGCGCCAAAGAGACACGCTGCAAACAAGAAAGGGCATTGGGGCAACTGGGCAACTAGCATCAAGAAGACATGCTTCGAGCCAAGCAGAGGCGGAAGACGCTGCACACAAGATAGTCCAAGAGGGCATGCTGCGAACAGGAAAAGGGTAAGCCGGGTAGGCAGCGCAAAAGGACACGCTGCACTGACATTACGGGGGGGAAACAGCCCCAAGAGCAAATGCTTCAGACAAGACAAGAGTGGTATAGAGTACCAAAGACACGGCGCAAGCAAGATACGGATGAAGAGTCCCATGAAGACACGCTGTAAACGAAGTAGCGGGAAGTACATGACAGGGCTGGGAACGAGCACCAAGAAGACACGCCTTGCCCTCCTTTGCTGTTGCCCTGGTGCTGCAGTTTTTGCCCAGCGAATGCAGGCATGCATTGCAGCATTGATGTGCTACGTGATGTTATGTGTGTCTGATGCCCGATGTATAGTCTTCTTGGGAATGTCGCCAAGTACGGAAGTGCTGACAACACCAAGACGGCACGCTACACACCAGATAGAGTTATGGAGCACCAAGGAAACGCGTTGCGAATATGCTGTGGACAAGGGAGACCAGAAGGGGTACACTGCGCCAAAAAAGCAAAAAACCGATACGCCGCAAACCGGAGATGCGTAAAGCCAACCAGGCAGACACGCCGCAAACAAGATGGGGGAGCACCAAAAAGACACCCATCGTAGACAAAACGTAAGAGAGCACCAAGAAGACAAGATGGTTCAACGCAATGCCTCATGAAGCAAGATGATTTGATTCTTGGCGAAAGGAAACTGTAAAGTTGCACCGCACGAACTTGACTGCGCGCACGTCTGGCTCGAGGGCAGCGCGGGGTTGCGCTGGCTCAACTTCGAGTCGGGTCATCCGCTCCAGGCCCATGCTTTGCTGCAGTGTCATCGTTTTCATTGCATTTGTTGCTTGTACTGTATCGTCTATAGGCTGCATACCACTTTCTAATTGCCAATGGGATCCGGGGGCGGAGTGCGCAGCTGAGGCAGCCAAGTGTTTCGCTTGTATATTCGCAGCAGCTGGTAGAACCCGTTTGGGGCAGATCGGCAGATCCTAAAACAGCCGGCGCTCTGCACAGCCCAATTGCATCACACCGGCTCGCACCGAGGTGCGGGAGTGTCTGTGGTACAGGCACCTGGGGATCAGAAGGTTTCTCGGAGGTTCAGGTCGTGACTTTGTGACTTGTTCCGCTTTGCGATGAGGCGAGCTCGAAAAGCCGCTTTGTTCTTAAGTGACCTGAGCAGACAGCGCTCCAACACCGCCAGCTCATGCTCCGGGGCAGTCTCAGATCCCAGTAAAAGTGGGAGGGCTTCCAGTATGATGGCTCAGGATGGGGTTCGATTGCGGACCTTCCTCGAAACATCCTTCAATCCGAAGCCTGAACTTGCAAGCCTTGCTGAAGCCCCACTTTGCTGCGCGCATGCATGAGTTGCGAGGGAAGCCCACCGGTGTTGTTGCAGTTGTAGAACTGAAGCCGTGTCTGCCTGAGGGCTCGAGGATAGAAGGAAGGGAAGGAGAGGAGGAAGACCACTGCGTGTCCTCCAGTCTGTGCTCACGGGACTCCTGCACCGCCGCCTGGCTACAGCATCGTGGAGACTGGAACCTGCGACCATCATGCTTGCAGCCGGTTTGAGTCTCAGTTTAGGGCGTGGGGCTTCGAAACAGAAATGGATCGCTGACTCTGTTGGTGCGAAGTCTGCCTGTCGACATTTTCTTGAGTATCTGCACTCACCATCCAGAGATCCCCTCCCTGAACCTTAGACTGGTAGGGCACCCTAAACCCCTTTTGATATGCAACTTGAATCCATGCCCCTGAAGTGGGGGGAAGATCACTTAAGCAGTGCTGAAGCCATTTGAGGGCGCAGTCGTTGAGGCCCCAGATGATTTTTTCTAGCAGCACTCCAGCCATCAAAGTGCTCACGCGCAAGGCAACTCGCAGGGACGGCCGGTCCAGTGTTCGCTTGTTGTGCTCTCGCGCTGCCATCTGGGCTTTCAGCTGGCCTGACAAGGCAGAGTTTGGAGGCAGGGTGTTGCTGTCATGAACAACTCATAGTTCGCGGAAAAGCATGACCTTTTTACTAATTTGCTGGTTGCTTGGCAAGGACAGCGTTTGGTTATACTTCCAAAAGATGCAGAACTTGCCGAACGCCGTGACTTCGCTGGTGATCAACTTCCTCGGTGGGCAACAATTTTGGGTGTAGCCAATGCTTGAGTGAACCGTCGTGGCCCAAAACAACAGCAAGAAGTGCGTGTCCTTGCGCGGCCTACTGCTTGTACATCCAGGCGATCTGGTGGCAGGGCGTTTCGAGTTGGCTTGGGGAAAGAGGGAGGTTTTCACCTCCTTTTCCCATCCAACACGCCGCCAGGGTCGGCAGACTCTAAACCCTAAACCCTAAACCCTAAATCCTAAACCCTAAACCCTAAACCCCAAAGCCTTAAAGAGGAAGGAGGAGTTGCCATGCCGTAGGAGCATCTTCCCCGTCGCAGAAGTAGCGGCCTTCACAGACCTTCACACAACCTTGACCCATGTGGGCAGTGTGTTCTAAACTCCGACTTTTGGGTAAACCCGAACCCTAAACCCTAAACCCTAAACCCTAAACCCTAAACCCTAAACCCTAAACCCTAAACCCTAAACCCTAAACCCTAAACCCTAAACCCTAAACCCCCGAAGCCGGCAGGCGAGGTAGCTCCGGAGCCAGAAGCCCTCCGGCGGGCGACGGAGCTCCAGTCCCGCAGGCAGCTGCGGGCTGCGCGGTGGACCCGGCAGGTCGCTGGCGAGAAACCCGTCAGGTCCCCTAGAATGAGATACCCCAAACCTTCTTCCTCCTTTTGGGAGGTCTCCCAAGTTTTTCCCAGAAGAGCCTCGCCTCCGACCGTCGTCGCGTTTCCTGGACCAGAGGCTCCCAGACCCGGTTCAGGCAGGCGGCCCAATAATTTTACGGCCCCTGCATGGGCCCAGGCCCGCCTGCCCCGCAATGGGAGGTCAGGGCGCTGGCCCTGCCCTCCCTGACCCGTGCCTGGCCCACGCCGGCCTGCCTTGAAACTTCTCGTCCTGAAAAGCAAGCCTTGGCTTGAGGCCCCCCTTTGCAAGGATCCAGGTCCTGACCCTCCGTAAAACCAAGCCTTGGCTTGAGGCCCTCTTGCAAGGATCCAGATCCCCAACCAGGACGCAGCATCCAAGGGCGAAGGCGGCAGCCAGCCCCAAGCCCAAACCTTCGGGCTTTTGCACTTTCAGAAAGAATTGCTGTAAAACTGTGAGTTTCT